AAAAAAAAAAAAAAAAAAGTGCTTTGACTAGCCTGGGCAACATGGCAAAACCCCATCTCTACAACAGGTACACAAATTAGCCAGGCATGGCGGTGAACGCCTGTAGTCCCAGCTACTCAGAAGGAGGCTGAGGTGAGAGGGTTGCACCACTGCACTCAGCCTGGGTGAGAGAGCAACTGCTGAACCTTGGGCAGCTCTTGCTGATTCTTGATACTTATGTTTCCTCCCTTCAAAACCCGTCTCAAGGCCCATCAGGTCCAAAGAGCGACAGGCTGAAAAAGCCATGCACGAGTCATTGAGTTTCAGGCCTAGCTTTCCCTGGAGTTAGGCTAGATGACCTTGGAGGTCCTTCATAGCAATTCTAGTAATGTTTTTCCTTTGAGATCAACTACTTCTGCAGTTCAGGGCAGTTTTCCAATCTTTTCTAGTCTCTCTTTAGAAAAGAGAAACATCTAAAAAACTGGGCTAGGTGCGATGGTTCACGCCTGTAATCTCTGCACTTTGGTAGGGTGAGACAGGAGGATTGCTTGAGCTCAGGAGTTCAAGACCAGCCTGGGCAACACAGAGAGACCCCATCCCTACAAAAAATTTAAAAATTAGCCAGGTGTGGTGGCGTGTGCCTGTAGTCCCAGCTACTCAGAGAGATGAGGCGGGTGGGTCACTTGAGCCTGGTGGTGTAGAGGCTGCAGTGATAGTGTCAATGAAGCATGTAAAACAGAACAAGATCCTGTCTCAAAAAACAAAAACAAAGGCCGGGCACAATGGCTTATGCCTGTAATCCCAACACTTTGGGAAGCCGAGAGGGGCAGATCACTTGAGCTCAGGAGTTTGAGACCAGCCTGGCCAATATGGTGAAACCCCATCTCTACTAAAAACACAAAACTTAGCTGGGTACATGCCGATAGTCCCAGCTACTCCGAAGGCTGAGGCAGAAGAATCACTTGAACCTGGGAGGCAGAGGTTGCAGTGAGTCAAGATTGTGCCACTGCACTCCAGCCTGGGAAACAGAGCGAGACTCCATCCATCTCGGAAAAAAACAAAATACAAAAACAAAAGCCTAAAAACACTGACTGGGCCTTCTCCACCAGGATGTGTATAAGGCAGCCTTCCACCTTATGACCTAGCTCAGACTGAAGATAACCAGGCAATTAACAAGTATTGGAAAACTGTCTGCCCATAAGCCCAGCTGTGGCCTGGATGCAGTGCAGAAACAAAGGAAGCATGTTTTTAGAAAGGAATTTGAGAATGCTGTCAGAGGGTGGATTGGACTGCAAGCAATTTTAATCATGTATTTATACTCAAAAAGTAACCTTGGCCAGGTACAGTGGCTCTTACATTTAGCAAAATACAAGCAGTATGATGGAGGTCTTACCTTATTTTATTTCCAGTTTTCATCCGAATCCACTGGGGAATGGGACGATTTTGCTTTTGTTTCTTGGCCAGGAATCGCTTAATCCTGAAAGTCTTGTGAGAAGACTGGGAAGAAAATGCAATCAATTTAGACATTGATATTAGAGACTGACTGAATGAGTCAAAGTCAAGAACTCCTTCAAACCAACATTTGAGTGCTTAACACATACCCCAGCCCCAAAATCTTCTCAATGCTAAGCCATCAAACCAAGCAAGTCTCTGACCATCACAACTTCTCTGGAGGCAGATACCACAGTTTCTATTGTTCAAATTAAATAAGTGGAATCAGGAGGTTAAGAAACATGCACAAAATCAGAGCATCAACGTGCAGAACCAGAATTGAAACCCAGGTCCTCCCTGCTCCACAGCCAGAGGCTACCTTTCAGTTTACCCTGCAGTCCCCCAAGGACTCAGACGACCACACTGGGAATGGCGAGGGAACTTGGCTTTGAGTCAAACAGAACCATCTACCATTTGCAAGTCAACGAATCTCAGTGCTCTACTTTGTAAAATAGGGGTACATACTTTTCAAGTGTCATTGGGAGGGTAATTAAGACTTAGGGAATGTCCCTGCTGACGTTCAGAGGATCTACTCACCATTTCGGTATTAATCGTAACTCTATCCCTACTGCTAATTTTCACTGCTACAAAAATAAACTTTTAAATTTAAAAAGAAATGAAATGTCACTTTTCCGACGATGACTGTCTCAGTTTCTAGTTGCATCTTTTGGCTCTCATAAAGAATTTCAGTCATCTAAGGCCAACCCCAATACTCCCCCAAATGTACAGAATAATCTCGCAAAAAGGGCACGGATGCAGGTTGAATGCCTGGCCAACCTGAAAGAACATACCCTTGCATAATAATGGGAGCCAATACAAAGAAGGCAAAGATTACACGCCCCCCCACCCACAGTAGCAGTTGTAAATCTTGTCAAGTAATAAACTATTACTTGACAAGTGACAAAATATCAGTACTTATCGCCTCCACATCTGGAAATCAACATTTCACATTTCCCAGTAAAGAGTGACTAGTTCGCTACTGCCATTTACTAAGAAGGCCAGAATGACAATCGGGTTCACAAAACACCCCTTGTTCTAGGCGCTTCCACGGGGTGACGCTCAAGTCTCTGAATAAACGTCCTCTAAACCAAAGTCCTGGGATCTAAAAATGTGGTTCGCTTCTCCACGCCAAGCTTAAACCCTTTTCGAAAACCAGTAGCCCACATTACCCTCCTGATTGCCCTCCACGTTGCGCGTGCCACGGGCAGCCCACAGTCAGGTCACGATTTCGGGGGTGGCTGCTACCTCCTAACCCTCGCCTCCAGAACCAGAGTTCGCTACAAGCGAAGGGAAACCGGAATCCCTGCCCGACTCGGCAGCGGCCCGGCAAAGAAAGAGTCCCCTTGAATCCGCGGCCGCAGCGCAGCCCGCCCCTCTCCAGGTTGCTCGCTGGCTCATTAGCTTCCCTCCAGGCCGAGGAAGACAACAGTGGCCGAACTGGAGCTTTTCTTGAAAAAGCCTTTAAAAGGCACCAGGCCCTCGACGCCCCGCGCGGTCCAGGCATTTCGTGGCAGCGGCCTCGGGTGTTTGGGAAGCCACCCTGGGGCCGATGGGGGCCGATGGGGACCGATGGACTTACCATGGCGAGAAGTGGAGGCAAGAACACACCACGATGGCGGAGAAAGGAAAAGAGGGGGGAAGCAGGCGGAAGAACGAGCTTAGAAGGCGCTTCTGATGGGCGGAGCTTAGGAGGTGACGCTATTCGCCGACCGCCTCTTCCTAGTGCTTTCTGTGCCCACCGGTGCGCTCCCGTGGCGCCGTGGGAAAGAGCGCTGGTTCCTGCCAAATGCAATTCGCTTTGCTTCGCTTCCCTAAGTGGGTTCCCCGAGGGGCCCGGCAGCGTGCTAGGGGCACCCTGCTTTGCAAGTGAGGCAGACAGCCCGTGATAAATGCCAAAGTAGAAGCCCTTCCGAAAACCTAAGGAGTCGATTGGGCGGGACTAACCCTAAGAGAGGGCAGGGGAAGCGACCGTCACCTCCGGGCGCCAGGGACTGGGAACGCCGGATCGGAGCTGGGCAGACGGAGAGCAAGTGCCATTTTCCCGGAGGGCTACGAGTCATTCCGGCTTGGCTGGAAGGTGTGGGAAGGGACAGTCGTGTCGGAGGAAGCAGGAGAACTTAGAGGGGGTTGGACCACGTGGACGCTTATGTAAGCCTAGACACTTGGGGTTTTCGACTAGGCGAAAGGCTGCCAATCAAAGTTTTCAACTCAGAAAGTTAGGAACAGAACCTCTTCCTTGGCTGCTAAGAAGTCCAGCCTGACATTGTATCCCGCCTTTGGCAAGCTGTACAATAATTAATGACATGCGTTTGGGATGCTAGTGTTCCCCGTTTCAATCCTTTTCCCCGTTTAAAAGCAAAAACCTTTCATTTTTGATGAATAAATAAAATAAATGTAAAAATAAGCCGGGCGTGGTGGCTCGCGCTTGTAATCCCAGCACTTTGGGAGACCTAGGCGGGCGGATTACTTGAAGTCAGGAGTTGGAGACCAGCCTGGCCAACATGGTGAAACCCTGTCTCTACTAAAAATACAAAAAAAATTAACCAGGCGTGGTGGTCGGCGCCTGTAATCTCAGCTACTCGGGAGGCTCAGACAGGAGAATTGCTTGAACCTGGGAGGCGGGGGTTGCAGTGAGCCGAGCGCCACTGCACTCCAGCCTGGGCAACAAGAGCAAAACTCCATTTCAAAAAGGAAAAAGTAAATAAATAAAAGCAAAAACCTCCACGTATATTTGCAGTCACCTCAAGCATTTTTGCACCAATGGATCACAGAAAGGGTTTTTAACCTGGAGTCCACAAGAGTCCATGTATAGAATTCAGAGGATTCCATGAACTTGAATGGGAAAATACAACTTTATTTCCACCAAATTTAATGAAATCTAATGCTTTCTTTATTTACGAATGTAGGCAACAGACCACAGTGGCATTAGCAGTACTTGTGACTTGGTCACTAATAGAAATCATAGATGGCTTCATATTACATTACAGTTGATACAGATGTCTCCAGACATTATTTACACACTCACTTCCTTTAAATTATATTACTTATTAAGTTCACAAATAGAACTATGTTAAGAAGCCCATATATTACTATAGCACAGATTTCTTTCTTTCTTTTCTTTTTTTTTTTTTTCAAGACTGAGTCTCCTTTTATTGCCCAGGCTGGAGTGCAATGGCACAATCTTGGCTCACTGCAACCTCCGCCTCCCGGGTTCAAGTGATTCTCCTGCCTCAGCCTTCTGAGTGGCTGGGATTATAGGCACGCCCTACCACGCCCAGCTAATTTTTGCATTTTTAGTAGAGACTCAGTTTCACCATGTTGGCTAAGCCGGTCTCGAACTGCTGACCTCAAGTGATCCACCCGCCTCGGCCTCCCAAAGTGCTGGGATTACTGGAGTGAGCTACCGTGCCCAGCCTAAATTCACATTCTGAGGCCCTGGGGATTAGGGCTTCAACACATGAATTTTGGGGGAACATAATTTAGCTCATGAAACCACCAGTCACCTTCTAAGGCCGAATTCAAATGCTGTCTCTTCCCCTTAGCTGGAAATCGCCACCCCTTCAACATTGTTCTAATAGTTTATTTGTATCTTTCTTGTGGCTCCTAGCACTATCTGTTCTGTTGTGATACAAAAGGATGACAGTAACAGTGAATGTTGCTTATGGGGCTTGATAGTTACTATGTGCCTGCATGTATTAATTCAAGCCTCACTATGAGCTTACCATGTCTTACCAGTGACCCTTTGAATCCTCACCAGAACACTATAAGGTAAGTACGGTTATTTATCCTCATTTTACAGAAGAGGGAAGTGCAGCAGGGACAGATTAAGTTGTATGCCCAGGGTCACACAACTACTATGTTGCACAGCCAGTACTCAGACTCAGGTAGTTCAGGCTTCAGAGTCTGTGCTGTCACCACTACCTTCTACTGCCTTTTCAACTCCACACATTTTGAGAACCTACTCTGTCTGGTTCGGGTCTTCGTGCTGGGGGTACAGGAGCAAACAAATCTGACCAAATATCCCTGCCCTCTTGGAATCTGGTGGCAATGGTATGGTTCTGGATTTTTTTGTGGTGAGAATTACACAAAGCTACACATGTGATAGAATTTGCCAGGTGTGGTGACTTATGTCTGTAATTCCAGCACTTTGGGAGGCTGAGGTGAGTCTATCACCTGAGGTCAGGTGTTCAAGACCAGCCTGGCCCACATGGTGAAACCCCGTCTCTACTAAAAATACAAAAAAATTAACCAGGCGTGGTGGCGTGCGCCTGTAATCCCAGCTACTCAGGAGGCTGAGGCAGGAGAATGGCTTGAACCCAGGAGGCAGAGGCTACAGAGAGCCGAGATCGCACCACTACACTCCAGCCTGGGTGACAGAGCAAGACTCTGTCTCAAAACAAAACAAAAACAAACAAAGAAATTTAGCTGGGCATAGTGGTGCGTGCCTGTAGTCTAAGCTACTCGGGAGGCTGAGACAGGGAGAATTACTTGAACCCAGGAGGTGGAGGTTGCAGTGAGCCGAGATTGTGACACTGCACCCCAGCCTGGGTGACAGAGCGGGACTCTCTCTCAAAAAAAAAAAAAAAAAAAAAAGAATTCAATACAACTCCCCCCTGCCCACCCTGCCCCGATGAATATATGTATAACTGGTGAAATCTGAATAAGCTCTGTGGACTGTGCCAATGTGAATTTCCTGGTTGTGATATTGTACTATAGTTATGCAAGATGCAAACACTGGGGAAAACTAGATAAAGGGTACACAGGGCCTCTCAGACCCTTTCTTTGCAACTTCTTGTGAATCTATTATTACTTCAAAATACAAGCCTAAAAAAAAAAACTCTGCCTTCATTGAGTTTAATTATAGTGACATGTTAGACACAAATATATAAATTACATGGCACATCAGAAGGATGTGTCATCAAGAAAAGCAAAGCAGGGGCCAGGTGCAGTGGCTAACATCTGTAATCCCAGCATTTTGGGAGGCTGAGGAAGGAGAAAGAGTTGAGGCCAGGAGTTTTAGATCAGCCTGGACAACATAGTGACACTCTATCTCTACAAAAAATACAAAATTTAGCCACCGGGTGTGGTGGCATGTGCCCGTAGCTCTGGCTACTTGGAAGGTGAGAAGGGAGGATCACTTGAGCCCAGGAGTTCGAGGCTACAGTGAGCCATGATTGTGCCACTGCACTCCAGCCTGGGCAATACAGTGAGACCCTGTCTCAAAAAAAAAAAGTTGGAAAAAAATAATGCAGCAATAAAAAAATAATACAAATACAGACAGGTGTGGCAGCATGCACCTGTAGTCCTAGCTACTTGGGAGGCTGCGGCAGGAGGATTGCTCAATCCCAGGGGTGCAAGCCAAGCCTGGGCAATGTAGTGAGACCCTATCTCTAAAAATAAATACAAATGAAAAACAGTACAGTATAACAATTATTTACATAGCATTTATACTACATTAGGTATTATAAGTAAACAAGAGATGATTTAAAGTATAGAGGAGGATGTGTGTAGGTTATATGCAAATATTACATCATTTTATATAAAGGTCTTGGACATCAGTGGATTTTGGTGTTAAAGGGATCCTGGAACCAATCCTTCATGTATACTGAGAGACGATTATATTTACAAAGGTGTAGATGCTGAGAACAGGTATCCAGGGCCTCCCAGAGCCAGCCGAGGAGTCTGAGATTTATCCTGGGGACCAACAATTTGCAGACTTCTTTTTATGTATGTATTTATTCATTTATTTTTGAGATGGAGTCTCACTCTGTCGCCTAGGCTGGAGTGCAATGGCGTTATCTCCACTCACTGCAACCTCCACCTCCTGGGTTCAAGTGATTCTCCTGCCTCAGCCTCCCAAGTGGCTGGGATTACAGGCACATGCTACCACGCCTGGCTAATTTTTGTATTTTTAGTAGAGACGGGTTTCACCATGTTGGCCAGGCTGGTCTCAAACTCCTGACCTCAAGTGATCC